CACTGGCTTTCCTTTTGACCAGCTCTAATGATGTAGAGACAAAGAGGTGCAGCCTCAAAACCTTAGAAAGAGAAGCCATCAAGGGAAAGACAGAGAGGGGAAAAAGGTCTAGTTAAGGACAAATTATAAACATTTGGGGCATGTAGCCAGGTAGAAGTTAACATTGAGAACTGTTTCATGCAGCATTTTCTGGTCCAGTTACCTACTTCACAGGTAAACTGAAATACGCAGTATTTAAACACACCATTATGATGCTCTAATATCAAATCAGTAGTGTAGCTTGAGTGGAGTGACCACAGCAATTACTGTAGCTATAGCCCAGAAGATTTACAAAATTATTAAGTTACAGAGAAAGTAGAGTGAAGCAAGTGAGAAAAGAAAACCAAACAGTGGTGAGGGGATTGATGGTTGGGAGGAGGAGGTGAGGGTGAGGAAAATTTCCCTGTAGGAAATATCCACAATACTCAGATAGCTTGTTTTCTGCCAGCCTTTGGGTTCCGTGTAGGGTCTTAGATTGTGACTAATACTTATGCTTTGGCTTGAAGATAGACTTCCAAAATTTGTGGGTAAATTGCATTTTTAAAAGATATACATTTTCCCTGTTGTAATTTGAGAGTATTTTTTCTTTTCATTTTCTTTTCTTCTCCTCAGTGTGCTATAATATCTGTCTTACTCCAGGTTATTTCGTTGCAAGTACTCTGACACTACTAGATTTAGCTTAAGCAAAAAGGAGAAATACGTTATAAGGAAGTATTTTTGAGATACCAATACAGGAAGTTTCTTTGGGCCTTATAAGGAAGAGGAAACTGAAAAGCTGTGAGGACTCATTCCTGGCATGTTCTCTCTCTCTTTCTCTATCTTCTCTTCCGTCCATGTCATTCTTTTCTCCCACAGCAAATCAGCTTTCTGTGCAACTCCATGTACGTGAATAAAGATGGCACCTTCACAATGGCAGCTTTAACTTTAGAGCGTGGGTAACTTCATTTTAAGTGAACGAAAAAGTCTGAGCAATCAGACTTTGATTCCTGGTTCCAACTTCCCCAGGAGGGAGACACTGATTGGCTCAGCTTGAGTCAGGTGACAACTCATGGTGCAATCAAGGGGCATGGGGGCAGGGTCATGAACAATAACATAGGGGCTAGAGGCTGGCCACTCTGGGTGAGGAGGAAAGTTCTCAGAGAAAGAGGGAAGAGCCTTGAATCTAAATAAGCACTCAGGAATTAATGCTCTGTAAACTAACAATTAGGCCAGGAAAATTTCTATTTTTAAGAGTGAATCTTGGTATGAATCCTTTTACAAAGAAAAATATTTTTAATGAATTGGTAGTTATACCTCTGTTTTAAGTTAAATTTTTTGTAAAGTAGAGTATAATTATAATTGACATTTTGCATATTTTGCCAAACAATTATCCTCACCTGAAGGAGGGTATTAAAATTCCTGGCTTACAGAGGGGGAAGTTAGTTTGGTTTTCATGCACTAAAATTAAACTTCTGTGGTTATCTCAGGGGAAGCAGGGACCAGTTTGCCAGGAACACCTTTTGCTTTGGGATTATAAGGAAGAGTGAGAGGATTGAGGTAGAGACAGAGATATGCTGAAGTGCAGAGGAGGTTCTGGAAAATTTTTTGCTATATCCAACCAAACTTTGAAATGAATAGTCCTAAAATATCTGGATGATTTAAAGTAAAGAACATTGATTGCTCATCTGTCTATCTGATTCACACTCCTGCCTTTGCCTTTTGGCTTATATTACTAGACCTGGGATAAATCAGCCTCTCTCCATAGCTACTTCCTTTCTACCTTCAGAAAAGTACATCTTCCCTATCTTGGAAAGAAACTAACTTCCAGATCTATCCCCAATCCCTTAGCTTGAGCCTGTTTCCCCTTCAAGGACTTTCCTATATCTTTTTTTGCTCCCACATTTATGCTCTTCTTAAGAATGTTTTCATTATTTCATCATTTAATGGCATAGTGTTGTTTTTTTTAATCCAAATGCAGGTCTTTGCATCTATATCTATTACAACTCAGCCCTTATCATTCCAGCCCACACGGTTCTGTGTAATGCAATAAATTGTGACAAATGCTTCAGGAGCACTAAGAAAATCCAACATATTTCTTATACCTCCCAGCTTGGTGATGTCTGTAAATTATCCGTACCATAACCATAATAGGCATTTAATAACTGTGCTAAGGGTTTAAAAATACTTTTTCATCTAATCTTCAAAACAACTCTCCAAGGAAGATATTATTATTCCCACTATACTGATGAGGAAATGGAAGCTTAGAAATCTAAATGACTTCCTTGGTGAAAGCTGTGATTCAAACCTGGGTTAGCCAGACTCTCAAGTTTAAGTTCTTAAATCCTTAGCCATGGATTTTCAAACTTGGCTTGGCATGTAAACTACCTAACAATTTTAAAAAGAGGTAGAAGCCAAGGCCTCATCTCATTTGTACTGTCACGATCTTGTTGCAGGCATGGGTTTGGGAGTGGCAGTCAAGAACCACTGCTGCCATGTTCTACTACAGTGGAAGGACAGAATCTTGCTACATGCCACTACACACCACCCCATAGTTGACAATTAGCTGCTGATTTTTACTTTTAGATATGGCCATACAATCAGTTTTGAATCTAAATGTGTTACCATCCAACCCACATTTCTTGTTTCTCCATATTGTGTGAAAGAATGTTGTGAAAGACTTTTGGTCAGATTTCTTGGAATTCTCTTTTATCATGATCAAAGAATAGGGGAAACTTTCTGAAATGTTTGCCCTAGGAGCAAATTTCTAGATATGTCACTACCAGGGATCATCTAAAGAGCTAAAAAATTCTCTACGGAGTGAAATGAGCTAACCATTTCAGGGTAGTATTAGCTTAAAATCATAATGCCTTAGTGAGGAGAGAGGCTTTCGCTATCTGAAAGACACTAAGCAAGTCACTTCATCTCTCTGCGTGGGTAGGTTGATTTCTCAATTCTATAAGCCTATGAATAATATATTTCCCTTGTCTACCCTGTCTTCCATATCCATATTTTAAATCACTAATTTTAAAAAGAATCCCTTTCCCCCCCAAGAAACTCAATATTCACTAGCTCCAAATGGCTTTTCCCTGCAAACAGGCAGTGGACAGTAACAGATACCACGCCTGGTTGAATAAACACGTCATTGCGAAATACAGAAACATCACTTACTACAATGAATGTATCTGCACTGTTTCAGAGTTCTAAAACAGGCATTTTTTTTCTCACAAGAGAGAATGTTCTCATTTCCACAGTTCAGATGCTTTTCATTGTAACCCTGACACTAAGGCCACCTTCAGCACTTTATCTTCATTGTGTGGGTCTGTGTTCTGGTTTCAACTCTAGTCACAGTTTTTGTCTGCAGGAAAAGGGAACTCTCATGGTGGTTGCTGCTTGTAATTTCAGCCTTAATATTCTAAGCAGATTTTAGATTTGCCATTGAGTCACAATTCCTATTTCTAATTTCTTTTTAGAAATTAAAAAAAAAGGACTCTCCAGCATATTTTGCTTCTAAGACAGTAGCCATAGGAATACAATTCCCCTGTAAATCCTTCCCTCTTATGAGAAAACAGGGCTCTAGTTATTTACTTTAAAGTTAGTGTGAATTCAAGTCATTTCCTATCCTGCTCTCATTTGCTCAAAGAACTTTTGCGATGGGTCTTATGTAAGAAGAAATGTAGGAGGTGCTTTGGTGAGGTTTATTTAAAGAAACCATTAATTACTAGAGGTGAATGGCAGCATCATTTGTGTATGGAGAAAACAGGGGCTATAAATGCATCAATTCTTTCAAATTGACAGAAAGAGGTCCTGCTCACAGGCTACTTCTTTGGCCTCACCTCTTACCACTCCCCCTTCATTCACTGTCCTCCAGCCACAGTGACCTCTTTCCTGGTCCTTGAATTTGCCAAGCACATTCCCTTCTCAGGGTCTTTGCCTTTGCTAGTCCCTCTGCCTGAAACTCTTTTCCCAGACAGTCACAGGACTGGCTCATTCTCATCCTTCAGATCTCTGCTCAAATGTCAGTTACTCTGGGAGGTCTTTCACGGCCACCCTAAATAAAATAGCACACTGCCTCCTCACTTTCTACTCCTTTACTTGGTATTATTTTTCTTAGTGGCAATTATACACCAGCATATTATACATTTAAGGCATTTTTGTCGCTTTATCAAAATACAAGCTCCAGCAGAACACGGAGAATGCGGGCTGTGTTCACATAGCATCCGTGGGGGCCTACAGCCTGGCACCTAGTAAATGCTCTGTAAATATTTGTTGAATGAATGAATGAGGCTCTTTGGGATGGTGGAAGTTATTTCTCCTCATTCACCGGGCCCTGTTGCCCATCCGCAGGCAGCTGGGCGCCTCATCCCTCTCACCCCTTTCCAGCAGAGGTGACGGATTAGAGTCAGGCGCTCGAGATTGCACTGGCACGAAACGGCGCGTGTGAACGCGTTGCCTCAACTCTTGGCGCCACTTCCCCTCGTCCCAGCAGCCTGGACTGGGAAAGGAACGGTTTGCTGCACCCGGAACGTGGAAGCGAAAGCAGAAAGGAGATGACAGTAGGCGGGAGAGGAAAGTCTCTGCGCGGTGCCGGGCCGCGCGCAGGAGGCGCCTTCCCGGCCGGGCTGACTCATTCCCAGCCGCCTCCACGGCAGGCAGCGGCCACATACACGCCCGTCAGCGCGCGCACCGAGCTGCTGGCAGGACCCAGGGCCCAGAGAACCCGCGCCAGCTCATCTTCCCGGTCCCCTCACGCGCAGCCGCCGCCCGGGAAATCTCCGCGCGCGCCCGCAGGCTTCCCGAGAGGTCACGGTCTTGCGCGGCCCGCCCCTGTCGGCCCCGCGGCGCGCGCCGGGAGAAGCACCGCCCAGGTGGAGTGGCGCACGCGCAGTCCGAGGACGCGCGCCAGACTCCCGCCCCGCCCCCGTCCCGGTGGGTGACGGCCTCAGTCAGCCGAGAACCGGCCGCCCGGCTGGAGGCCATCTGGGAGGCTGAGTGGGACACAAACGTCTGAGCCCGTGTCGCCTGGGGCGCTGAGAAGAGAGTGTGGCCCGGGAGAGGGTGGAGACGACGACTGTGACGGGCTTCCCGGCTGCCTGTAGTGGGAGTGGTGTGGGCTGCAGGAAGGAGAGAGGAAGAGGAGCAGAAGGGGGCAGCAGCGGCCGCCGCTAACGGCCTCCCTGGGCGCTGACAGGCTGGGCCGGCGCCCGGATCGCTCGGGAGTTCGCGCCGCCGCCGCTTCGGCCGCTCGGCTCCTGGGCCCGAACTTGCGGCGCGCGTCGAGGCGGAGAGCTGCTGCCTCCGCACAGCGAGAGAGGCCGGGTCCTCGCCGCCGAGGGATGTGAGTGGGAGCCGAACCCGCGCGGGAGGGCCCGGAGGTCCCAGGCTGGCGACGCTCGGAACCGTGCCCGCTCCGGGGGCTTCGCAGATCTTGGCCGACCGGAGGCGCTGAGTAGGAGCAGCCCCTGCGGGCTTGGGGGCGCGTCCTCGTCGCCCGATCCGGGCAGCGGGTGAGTGTTGTTGCTGCCTGGCTTCTGGGTGGGGGGCAGCAGTTGTTTCTCCTCCTCTTCCTCACCTCCTGAACCCCGCTTTCCCACTACTAGTGGTAGTCAACTTCTCGGCAAGAAAATCTTCCTCTTTAAGAGGAAACCTACAACGGAGTGTCTTGCTGTTGATATTTGCGTCTGTGTGTGCCTGATATTCCCCCACCCCCTTTACTTCTCCCTCTTTAAAATATTATAGACATCTAAACAGCCTGGAAACGAGCATCTGTTTTCCCAGGATTTCTACGGTGGTAACTGCTGCTTCTTTTTCTAGGTTTCAGAAGCAGGCAAGGGACCAAGATGTGAACTGTTTCTCTTCAGAAAAAGAGGCCCTTCCTCCCCTTCCCGCGGCGGTGGGTATGCGTTCCTGGCTGCTGTCCTTTAGCGCTGCAATAAAGGAGAGGGTGTCTCTAGCTGTGAGTGCGTGCGTAGGAAGGTTGGAAGCGTGTGTCGACAGGCAGGGCTCATTGTTGCCTACTCCTTTGAAAATGGCAGTGAGGAACTTTTAATGTTGGTCTGGGAGGGTAATTTGGGGGTGTTTATTTGTTGTGGCTCTTAGACCCTTTAAGAAACATTCATAGTTTCTTTCTCTGCTGATTGTTCAAATAACATGGCTTTGCAGAGGAAACGTTGTCGGTTACCTTTTCTCCTCAAGCAGCCAGAGAGTCTTAATTTTCCAAAGAGGAACATTTTCAAGTAATAAGAGATACCTATATTGAAAGGCCGCCTTTCTTGCTGGGGTTTCTGCTACCCCATTGAATGCTTCCTGGGTGGTGTTATCTGCCTAAGTTTGCTGTGTCAGTTGAATTTACCCAGTTTGCTTTCCGGTGGTTATTAATCTGTCAAGAGAAACTCCTTTTCTCTGAATGAAAGGATAGAAGGGGCTGAGTATGTCATAGAGGGGAGGGGAAATGTGGAAAAGGAAACCAGAAGTGGGAATAAAAGAGATGACGATTGCTTTTGGTTTCATAATAGGTTTGTACGAGTGAGTTGTTGGGCTACTGCACATTCTGATATAACACCCAGCAGATTCGAAGATGAATAACCAACCTTTGGCCTCCCTTTCCCCACCCACTTCACCTTTTACCACTTCAAGTGTGAGAATCACTTGCTTGTATGGGCACATATCTGTTAGTGTGTAACTGTAACCTGGATGTGTCCAACACTTGCCTTAATAGTACAGTATTTACCTGTCCAGGAAAGCTGCAGTACTTGCTGAGTAGATAAGCACATAATGCTTGTTTTTGCTTTAACTGAGTGTCCTGTGTTTGGGGTTTATAGCATGTTTTAGGGACTGGTTAAGGAAAAGCTTGTTTCATTTTCTGGTTTTTGCTAGTGCTTTGAGACAAGTGTCTTAGGTATAGGAAGGGAACATGATATGTTTTCTCTGCTTCACCTGGCTATTGCTGAAAGATGAGATGCTTTGAGGCAGAATAAGGAGAGAGCATTGGCTTTAGAGTCAGATCTGGGTTTGAATCCGAGTGTTCCTATCACTTAATAGTTGTATTATTTAAAGTCCCTTTGAGCCTCACTTTTCTTAGATTGTTGTGAGGATTGAATAAGATTATGCATGCAAAGCAGTACATTGCTTGACTACTGTATAACTCTTGGCTGCTATCATGGCTGGGCAGGCAAAGGAGATTCAAAGAAGGGCACAATGACTCTGCATAAGGTGATCTGCCAGTGACCAGTGTTTCTTCCTCTTTAGTAAAAGGGGAAAAAGGACTTTTAGGTCTTGAACTGGTTAAGGGGTCTTGTAGCCTTTTTATGGAAAGATTTGACTCGTATCATTTCTCCTTAACACTCCCTTTCCCCTTGTGCTGCCCCTACCAACTGTTGTGCTGCCCTCTTGTGGTTCACTGTGCTAAGAACTTTCTTTTGCTCCTCCTCCATTACATTTTTCCCCCGTCTTTTTAGGACCTTTCCCTTTGCTCCCAGTTTCCCAAACTGTGTGCTGAGGTGCCCTAGAGCACCAGTGAACTCAGGATTGAACTATTAGTTTGAGATAGTTCACAGTTTCAACATTAGATTGACACATTCCTTTCTACAATGTCGTGTCTTTGCAAAGCTATTATTTTTAGAGGTTGCTCTGATAAAAAGTGACTACTGCATGAAAATCAGTGTGATACAGGAAATGAGAACGTGATGTTGTCCAATTTGGTTCCAAGGTTTGAGAAGTTGTACAATGCCCAACAGGCACTAAGTTGTAAGGACTTTAACACTTACTGGTTTGAGGGGCTGGCCCTGTGGCTTAGCGGTTAAGTGCGCACGCTCTGCTACTGGCGGCCCGGCCGGATCCCTGGCGGGCGCGCACTGATGCAGCGCTTCTCCGGCCATGCTGAGGCCGCATCCCATATACAGCAACTAGAAGGATGTGCAACTAATCACATACAACTATCTACTGGGGCTTTGGGGGGAAAAAAAAAAAAGGAGGAGGATTGGCAATAGATGTTAGCTCAGAGCTGGTCGGATTGGCATGGATGTTAGCTCAGGGCTGATCTTCCTCACACACAAAAAAAATAAATAAACAAACACTTACTGGTTTGAGCCCACCTACTTAGTATTTCTTTTGGCGTAGGGATGCAGTGAAAAAATTACTAACACTAAGGACTCTCTAAATGGAGAAGGTTCGGGAACCTCTGCCTTAGCTTTTGGTTGCTTTTTCTGATAAAATTTTTTTTTAATGGAAAAACTGCATTTTTAAATGTTGGTCACTAATTGATCTTCCTCCCCACCAAAATTATTGATATAATTATTGGTAAAATTATTGATACAGAGCTAGTACCAGCTGATCATAGCTTAATATATTTCCTCTCCTATTTAATATCTTTGTAGCTTCTGCCCAGTTCTTTCATTTTAAAACTAATCCTATTGCTTACTTGTCATTCTGGTCACTTCCTGGTTTTTCCAGTACTGGTCTTCTACTAGTATTTTTGACCATCTCCTTAAATTCAACATGCTCCAAATGAAAATCATTATTTTTATACCCTTTGTAATTTCCTTCTCTCCTGGTCATACAGGCTTTAAATTAGGCATCATCTTTAAACTACCTCTTTCATTTACCTCTTATATTAATCCATTCAACATGTCCTATCCATATTTCTTTTGTCTCTCATGTCTCTGCTTCCCCCACTTTATCACCTGAATCCCAGGACTCATTTCCTCAGCCTAGAATATTGAAAGTCATATCAACCTCTCACAGTCCAGCATCTCTTCTGTCTGGCCGCACGCCCAGTTGGGTGAGCAGTGCGGGATAAGTTGCAGAGAGACCAAAGAAAAGACCTGGAGACAGCGAACGAGACATATAAGTTTACTGGGAATTACTTATAGAGGAGTCTAGTGGCGGCCGGCTGGACAGCATCGTGCACCTACAACCACGGCTGGGGAGGGGTTGCTTATATAGGCAGGGGACGCAAAGGCCATATGCTTGCCAAGAGGGGCTGTCCCTGGTACGACCAGCATTCCCAGGAACAGTAGCTCACGTGGAGGGGCTCTGTGTCGCTTTAAGACGTGATGTTCTTTGTGTGAGATAAGGTAGGGTCCGGGCTGGGCCCTGGATTGTTACAAATCCCAGCAGCTGGGTGGCCTGCCAGGAAGGGAGCCAGAAGGCCATGGTTGCAATGGGCTTGTGGGCTCTTGCTGAGCAAGCAAGGCCCAGGCCCTACATCTTCCTTCTATTTATCCTCAATAGAAATGTCACTCTAGTACTCCTTATTGTGGCATTCTCTTGCCTTCAAATTTTCAGTGCCTTCCCGCTTTCTACCTACTAAATTTAACTTCCGTTTCCTGGCTTTCAAGATACTCGATCATCAATCCCTGCCTTATTCAGTCTTTTGTCTAAGGACCCTTAACAAGCATTCTCTGCCTGTAGTCTTGCAAGCTGCTTTCCATACTTTTCTAATAACAGCTGTGCTTATTCTGTCTTTTAACTTTCACTCATGTTTTCCTTCCTTCTTTCACCAAGCCCAATTCTACACCCTATTGCACCACTCACTAGTTGTGGAATAACTGAGCAGGGCCTCAGTCTCCGCATCTGAAAAATGAGAATTGTAGTACTTTTTCCCTAGAGTTGTAGTGAGAAGTAAGTGAGTTAATATATGAAAAGCCCTCCAGACCAGTGCCTGGCACATTAAGCACTCTTAAGTGTTAGCTATTATTATTATAATTATTTATTATCACTATTATTATTACTACTATTACTATAGTCATGTGCTGCATAACGACGTTTTGGTCAATGAGAGACTGCATATACAATGGTGGTCCTATAAGATTAGCACCATAGAGCCTAGGTGTATAGTAGGCTATACCATCTAGGTTTGTGTAAGTACTGTAGGGGAGGAAGAAATTCTCCTCTACCCTTTCAGGGTTCTTCTGGCTGGTCTAAGAATTAAATTGACGTGAGACAGATTAATAGGAGAAAAACAAAAGTTTAATAACATGTATACATGGGAGAAACCCAGGAAAACTGAGTGACTCACCAAAATGGCTGAAGCCCGCAGCTTAAATAACACCCTCAGCTAAAGACAAAAGAAGTTGTTGAGGGTGGGGAAAATCAGGGACTTCAATGGGAAGGAAGGCAATTCTCAGGTAGGTGAAAAGGAGCAAACATTTGGAAAACAAATGTCTCTTTGGCCACACAGAAACAGAGGGGAGCCCAACAAACAGGCTAGGTTCCTCTCTGTCTGCCAACTAGTTCGTGTTATATTAAGGTGATAGCTCGCTTCCTGAGACAGGATTTTTTAATCTTAACACTTTTAGGCAGTTAAGAGGGAGGTAACAAAAACTTTCTGAGTCTTTTGTTTCTTAAAAATAATCAGCCTCAAATAATCCTCATGTTAAAGAGATACATTTTGGGGTGGCAAATTTTGTTCCCCTTTAGTATACTCTGTGATGTTCAAAAAACGACGAAATTGCCTAAGGATGCATTTCTCAGAACACATCCCCGTTGTTAAGAGATGCATGACTGTACTACTATACTCCCAGTAAAAATTTCACCTCATTTATGAAACTGTTTCTCACTAAATATTGCTTTTTTCCTCTGTATATTTCTATAGTTCTTTTAGTTTTGAATAACTTCACACAGTTTAATTATATACCATGCTTTGGTTGTTTGATAGTTATTTTCCTGGTGTTAGCCATATCTTTTCAAGTTGATTGTGTCTGCCTTGTGGAACAATACCTAGATGTAAAAAAACACACACACAGTGCTGAGCACACGGGGAGCATTCAATAAATGCTGTGTATTAAAAAGGAACTTTAGTCAGTCATGAAACAAATATTTATTAATATCTACAATGTCAAAGGTACTTTGCTATGTCCAAAAGAGATGCAGAAAACTATAAAATGGATTCCT